AAAGCAAGGAAAAAAAAAAGCCCCTGCGCATTGATCCGCGCCGTATTTTTGGGTAAATACGATCACGTGGGGGCCGGGGAACCAATGAGCTGCGGGGAAAAGGCTGGAAAAATAATTACCTGCCTTGATTGTTCTGTGAGCAGATAAAAAGTACATATACAGTTCATACAATAATCTTATGTATGTAAAACCCTGTTACGATGTCGGCGACGGGGCCCATCAGTAACTATTACGTGGACTCGCTCATCTCTCACGACAATGAAGACCTCCTAGCGTCCAGGTTTCCGGCCACGGGGGCTCACCCCGCCGCCGCCAGACCCAGCGGTTTGGTGCCGGACTGTAGCGATTTTCCGTCCTGTAGCTTCGCGCCCAAGCCGGCAGTGTTCAGCACGTCGTGGGCGCCCGTGCCCTCGCAGTCGTCCGTGGTATACCACCCGTACGGCCCCCAGCCCCACCTCGGCGCCGACACGCGCTACATGCGGACTTGGCTCGAGCCGCTGTCCGGCGCCGTCTCCTTCCCCAGCTTCCCGGCCGGGGGCCGTCACTACGCCCTCAAGCCGGACGCCTACCCCGGACGCCGCGCCGACTGCGGCCCGGGCGACGGCCGCAGCTACCCGGACTACATGTACGGCTCGCCCGGGGAGCTGCGCGACCGCGCCCCGCAGACACTGCCCTCGCCCGAGGCGGACGCACTCGCCGGCAGCAAGCACAAAGAGGAGAAGGCCGACCTGGACCCCAGTAAGTTGGGAGCAATTTTCCTTTACAACCAGCGCGGGAGGGGAGGGGAGGCCGGGCGGGGGGGAGCCGGATTACAGCCCCTCGGAGCGGCGCAGGGAGCGCGGGAGAGGGGCGAGGGCGAGGGGGCGAGGACTCAATAAAAGCGAATTACCTTGGGGAGCTTTCAGGGGCAGGAAGGTCTGAGAAGGGAGCCCAGGGAGCCAGGTTGGGAGAGGGCTGAGGGGGGCTCCTCTCCCTGGAGCTGGCTTTGATGAGAGACCCCCCCACACACACAGACACACACCCCCAGCCCAGGCTTTTTGGCTCAGTTGCTACTTTCGAAGAAATGCAGACAGGGCCAGGGGATGGGGTAGGGTTGAGGTTCATTTTATGGTTTGAGGTGGGACTGGAGTGGGGGGGGGGAGATGAGGAGGACACTGGGGACAGAGAGGAAATACCCCAGGGAGAAAAATCACCCCTACCTCCCAGCCAGCATGGGGAGTCTCACCCCAGGAGGAATTCCTTAAAGAGAAGGTGCATGGACTTCTTATATACCCAGGAGCACTAGGTGAGGGGTCTGGGGGATTTCACAGCCTGGGAACTTGGAGAAATCAGGACTTACAGAGTTGGGGAAGAGAAGTGGGGTCCCAGTCTCCTTAAACTTGAGAGCCCTCTTCTGAGGGTCTGCAGGAAAGAGGGTTGAAAACCGGGCTCAGGGATGAGGAATGGGGGGGGGAGCATCTCCCCAGATTAGAGAATTATACACACACACACTCACACACACACACTCCCCATCAAGGAGACTGGAGCCTTCTGAGTATTGCAGAGAAGGGCAGGGGTAGGTGTGTGTGTGTGGGGGGGGGGGCAGGTGGGAGCTGCTGGGCCAGAAAAAGGGGAAAGAAGGAGAAACAGCAGGGGAGGGGGTGCAGCCCCTGGGTGTGAGGAAGTGTCTGGGGGAGTCCCAGGAGGGGGCTGCAGGAAATCCTTTCCTCCAGCCCCATAAGGGGCCAGGGCCTAATTATACCCCTCTGAAGGCTTCCCTCCTTGCCCTCAGCTACTCCCATAAACCTGAAATTGGAGGCTTGGCTCCTGCAGAGCCTGTCCTGGGGCTGGCAGGAGGGGGGCACTGGAAGCCAAACAGGGAAGCTAAGATATAGGGGAGCCTGTCCCAAGGCCAGCAGCTCTCTGGGGAGAGGAGAAAGGCTCTCCCCATTCCAGCATCACTCTGAGAATTCGCCTCAGCAGGGTTGAACTCCGAGAGCAGAGACGGGCGCTGAAGACGGTGGTGAGGGGCTTAGGGACTCTCAGGGTCAGGAAACAGAACTGCTGAAATTTCAGGACTTGGTCGTGGGCTGGGAGGGTGGGAGGGGGCAGAGGAGGAGGGAAGTGGGGAGGAGAGAGACCTCGCTATAAAAATAAAAAACAAGAGAGAGAAGCGTTTATGGGCCTATGAAACAGTTGGGAATTTGGACTTTTTATGAGCATATTCTCGAATTACTACTCTTGAAGCTGAGGACCAGACTGTAGGGGCTTTGATAGCTTTGATTTCCTATAGTTTTAGGTGCTAGAAACCGAAGAGGGGGAAGATGGGGAGAGGGCAGAACGCTAAAGGAGTCAGGGAGAAAATTCCAAAAACCAAACGTGTCCAAATTCAGGTTCAATCATTGCGTTTGGGGAGCCTGGCTAAGCCTAGGGGTAGGGTGGCAGGGGTCCTGGGCTAGAAAGGGGCTCCGCTGACCCCTGCCTGTGTTTGGCCCTCCAGGCAACCCCGTGGCCAACTGGATCCACGCCCGCTCCACGAGGAAGAAGCGCTGCCCCTACACCAAGTACCAGACGCTGGAACTGGAGAAGGAGTTTCTCTTCAATATGTATTTAACCAGGGACCGTCGGTACGAGGTGGCCCGGGTTCTCAACCTCACCGAGCGGCAGGTCAAAATCTGGTTTCAGAACCGGAGGATGAAGATGAAAAAGATGAATAAAGAGAAAACCGACAAGGAGCAATCCTAAACCCTGCCCCAGCCTGCTGCCTCGGCACAGCCAAGGGAAAAACAAAAAACCCCACAAAAATACCCCAACCCAGGCGGGAGAGAGCACGAAAAGAAAAGGAAAGAGCAAGATAGAGAAAAGCCCATCAGCTTAAAAAGAGACAAAAAAAAGGAAGGGGAAAAGGAAAACTCTTGCGATTTGGGAGGGTTCAGTGTTGAGAAATTGGTGTTTTAGAGTTAGTTCTACCCAGCGAGGAGGAGGAGGCGGGGAGAGAAACCGCATTCTCTTCTCCCAGCGCAACTGAAATAAATGACACACACAAATGTGATTTTTTTCCCCTCCTTTCTTCAGAGAAGCCAGTACTTGAATCGCTATATTTCTATTTTTTTTTTTTT